ATGAGGCACAGGCAACAATGTAACACAAGTAACACAATGTCGTGGTTTTAAGTGTACATCCACATGAACGAGCTGCAGATATATCACTATGTATGCCACATTATTGCTACATATATGCAGTGCTTCTGTGCATGAATTCAAATTTTGAATATTTCAAAATCATTTAAGTGTACAAGTAAGTAGTAACATTATTTCATAATGGTGTCATCAAAACAGCCATCTGGCAGCATATGCAATTCAATTCCTTGTGCTTTCCCTCTGTCCCTCCTCCCAGACCAACCCTAGCTACTGTTACTGCTTGTTTTTTTCTTGGAAGCACTGCTTTTTCCACCTATGTGTATCTTTTGTATGCCTGGGTTGGGCTTGGTCCATTACTATGATCTGTGATATGACTACAGTGTTTGGAAATAACAAATGGATTCTCCCAGAGCTGCCCAGACCATGAGTGGTGTCCAGTGTTTGGGATGGGGTCCTCCTCTACATGGATGCATAATTCGGATACTGGCCCTGACGCTCAGCGCAGGTTATTTCTGAGACCGCACTGGGTGGGCTGGGGTCCAGTGGGCCAAGGAAGGAGCTTCTCATCACTGGAGCAGCACAAGGGCACAGTTACCCTCCCTTTCCTCCCTCTCCAGGGAAGCTGCATCCGAGGGGAAACGCAGGCTGTGCGCCGGGAGTGCCAACTGCCAAGAGCCCCAACTTTATAGCTGTGTGCCCAACACCCCCCCCCCCATAGACTAGTTCTATTTTCATTTTCTCACTCTTCTCTCACTTCAGCCAATTACATCACAAAATCACCTTAATTCAAGTAATCTTGTAAATGAATATACTTCCTAAGGCAAATGTTCGGCCTGTATTTTGGTGCTTATTTCAGCCAATGAAATTACTTTCTTGTAAATTAGATGGATCGTCTCTCTCTTCCTAAAGTATCTTGTAAGTTCTTTCCTCATGGAAAACATATCCTTGCTAACCAAATTAGTTTTGCCGATCATGACTTTCACTCTGTGAGTTTCTTATGTTAATATTTACTTTGTAGGGATTTGTACCCAAAATTACAGTTCCTCTTTGGTTAACCAGACCATGTCCTCTCACGGTGAAGTTCTGAAAGGGATGAAATGTAAACAGTGTGATAAAAACGTAATGTTTCTTTTCAAATTGCTGTAGAAATGATAAAATTTTAATAACCCATATCATTTTCATAGATCTGCTGAATGATCCTATGCATTTTATAGTAGAGATTTTTTTTTCTATTTTTTGGTTAATAATTTTAAAATTAACGATACCACGTCATTTTCCATTATTTTCCTTTTTAAGATTTTCCAACTAGAAAAACAATGCTTTATATCAGTTCTGATACCTTCCTTTATACTTTGTTCATTTGCTGTATATGTTGCCTCAAAATAGGTTCTTTCACCTGGTGTGCAAGAGGCCAATCCACACACAGAGTCAAGGTATTTGATTTATTTACAGTTCTGCAGAGAAAGGGATGGCAAATCCACAGAGCCAGCAGGACGACCACCAAAACTTTTCATTATTTATACATTTTAGCAAACAAAGGCATTAATGTTCATTGGCTACAAGTTGCCTAGTTCCCTTACAGTTAGTATTCTACCTCCTATTGGTTAATGATTCCCTTGCTTCTCATGCTAATTAGGCCACATGCTCAGTCCTTCTTTTCTTTTGAGATGGTGGGCTGTGAGTCAGTGGTCACCATCTCCGGCAGCCAGAATTACCTTTTGCCGGTCGGAGCTGATTGCAGCACATTTCCTGAGTTGGCTTTATTAGTTTCTGCCTTATCTTGGGAGTTCTGCCAAATGTCCTGTGGCCCATAATTCTGCATTCTTTGTGTCCACTATCAGCAGTACATCCTTCTCCCCAAGGTTTGTTAACCTCCTGCTAAGTCTGAGATCATTGAGGCATGTGAGGCTCTAAACCTTAACAAGGCAATTCTACTGAAAAGTAATTTATCTTTCTAATACCCAGACATCCATTGGGAGCAGCTTTTTTCACATTCCAAGAAAGTGCTGTCAATCTAATTGGACTTCATAGCAATAGGTCTCATATATTATAAAACTTATAATATTGCCATTATTATATATATTATATATGCTACAAGTCTCTTTTACAAGATATTTATACTATTATTATTATACTCTATATAAATTATATAAATTATTTATATAATCTACATATTTTATAATATTCTTATTATTACAAAGTCCAATTAGAGTGAGAGCACTTTCTTGGAGTGTGAAAACAGCAGCTCCCAAGTCTCATATAAAGTCTCATATAAATATATATATGAGACTTATAACAACTAAGTATCTTTTATATATATATATCTAAACACACATATAAAGAGACTTAAAATATTGCTACTATTAAGTCAAATAATTCCAAGTCTTTGGAATCTCTTATATATATATATATGTATATGTCCCACACACATACACATATATACATATACACAGCTGTATACCACCTAAGGAGTCTTTCTGCTGTGCCTTTTGCAATCGGATATGTCTATCTCGTATTGGCCTCATTAGCCACCAGCTAATGCTTGTGACAAACGTGGATAGAGCCTTCCTAAATCTTCGTTCGTGAAGCCTAACCATGATGATGTATACATGTACATGTAAAAATATACGTACATAGACACAGACATATATATAGAGAGAGATGTGTGTGTCTCCTCTCCTCGGTGCAAAGTTGGAGGTCCCCGAGCGCTGTTTCGGGCTCTGAGGGCGGCCTTTCCCGCACGTGACCGGACGCTCCCGTTCCCGGTGACGCGGCTCCGGGCGGGGCCGGCGCCGCAGCGGAAGCGGCGCGTCCCCCCCGCCCGCCCGCCGGCGGATCCGAGCGCGCCCCGAGGCGGCCCCAGCCGCCGGCACCGCACCTCGAGGCCCCGGAGCGGCGGGCCCGGCTCCCGCCGAGCGCCGGCAAGTGCGGGGTGGGAGGAGGGCAGGGGAGGCTCCCTGGCCGGCGGGGCGGAGGCGGTGCGCCGGGGCCGGTCGGTGCCGGGCCTGGCTGCGCGCCGTGTGTGTGTGTGTGAGGGGACGAGGGCGAAGGAACCGCGCCGGGCGGCGCATCCCCGCCCTCCCAGGGGCTGGGGTGGCCCAGCTCCTGGGCTCAGTGGGATCGTGTCCAGAGTTTAATTAGCGCTCGCTTAGGGTGTGGGTGAGGGAGCGGTGCGGAGGTGAGGCAGGCAGGGGGCCGGTCTGCAGGGCAGCAGCCGGGAACAGGCAATGCAAGGTTATTACTTAACGAGAGCGGTGGAGAGAGAGCTGCTTCGCACTTCTCTCCGGAAATGAGTGCGGGGTTACTGGTGTGTTTAAAAAATAATGTCTACTAGACTGGTAATTTTCCTGACTACAGCGTTTTGGGTTTTGATAGCAAACATCCCCATTATCTTGTTTTCCGGAGTTCTGAACATCTAAGGAATACTACAAAAAATACTGACTGTTTGTAACTCTGGGGTGGCCTCTTGCACTTTAAAGGAACATCATGTTCTGCAGAACCTGTTCCTTTGCAGTGCACACAGGCCCCTAAGGCTTTATAAATGAGGACAAAATAAATGTTTTTTTTTAAAAAATACATCTACATCACATTTGTTGACATTGATTGTTCCTGAAAGCTTTTTCTCACAGCTTTTTTTTTCCTAGAATGAATTTCTTTATTACCAGACTTAAATAGTGCTATGGATTTCTTGTTACTTCTGCTCAGGAACTGTATATTTGTTATGATTTCTTTTGTACTTTTCCTTTTCATCTGCTTTCATTCAGGCAATTCTTTTGGAGCTTTTTAATACATCTTGATCAAGAGTAAAATTCTCCCAATGGCATACATTAACATTTGTAATTTGGGCTACAGGAGCATTAAGTTGTTGGCAACTTCAAATATGAAAGCTGCCTGACCTCTCCGATTGATAGTTTATCACTTCAGACTGTACACAGACTCTTAAAAACTGTTGGTTTTGGGTTTTTTTGTCAGTCAACCTTTGGACAGCCCTCTCTAACTTAGTATGCCGTGTTTCTTTTGATCACGTTGGGGGATAACATGGCTGTGTAGCCAGAATCTTGCATTATCATTTTACCTTAGGCTATTTCTCCAGTGCTTCCTGGGTTTGTTTGGATTTTTATTTGGCTGAAGGACAGAACACTAATTTACACTCCAGGTGAGGATGGAATTTGAAAATTTGGAAGCCCAAACTAAAATCTTTTTAACTTCTGAAAAAACAAACCCTGAAGTTCTTGGCATTAAAGATAGCTCCTTTCTCTTGGTGACATGGTTTGCTTCTGGCTGTATTCTTAGTTTGATCTAATTTTATGTAGTGGTTACTTGCAAGTTGTGTACCTTACCTTTTCTCACTCAGTTTTGGATTTTTTTTGCCATGGTTTTCAATATTCTCTCATTGAAGCAAAGGATTTTGTTATATGTAATAATTATAAACTAAATTCGTTTTGACTGTGCTTAGTTTGAAGTTTGTTCAAAAGAGCATTTTGTTGATGCTGGTCTCTCTGTTGGTCCACAGAGATTTCATTTGATGTTTTATATCTCCATTGTATCTGTGCACTAGAAGGAATTGTATATGTTATCTCTTAAATCCATTCAAGATATTTAGTGTTATGTCTTCCCTTGTGTTGACTGAGTGGCCATTACAGAGCAGTCATGACAAATTAAAAGGTGATTAAACAGGGTTAGCAATTTCTCATCTGCTTTTCTTTGGAGTGTTGAGCACAGCTGTCTGCTGGTTTCTTATAAAAAACAACACAAATCTTGAGTACAGTAAAGTTGCATCTGTTGTTAAAACACAATTAATTGCTTCATAAATTGCATCTGTCCCTTGACAATGTTTGATTGCAAAAGGGTAGGTATATTTTGTAGAATAGATATTAGAAGTACTGCTTAGCACTTAAAGACAGACTTTTGGGATGATTGTGATAGTAGAGAACAGGAAGTCGACTTCTGTGATATTGCAGCTTGAGTTTAATTAATGCTTTATGGGCTATTCTTCCAAATTTTCTGGGTGCATGTGCTTTATAATTGCTGGTGCATATAGTCTGATGCAGAGAATGTGTAAGTAGCACTGAATACAATGGGCATTCTGCAGATATTAAAAAACAAAAACAAATTAGAAATCAACAACTTTTATTATGAGTTGGATGATATTTTTCATAAATTTTTATTTAACTGGCTTGGAAGTTACGTATTTCTGATTGCTGGAGAGTAAGGAATGTAAAGTATGTGTTAAAATGCCTGTGATATTTTATGAACTAATAGGCCTACAATTGAGTGTAGAGCAACATGAGATGTTAACTAATAGCACTGAATGCCTTGTGGCTTCTCAAGAAATCTAAGACCTGAAGCTTGTCTCTTTTCACGTACAAGTGATAGAAACACGTGCATGACAGGTTTATAAATCACTAAGTACTGGCAATAACCACTTGTAGTGCCAAAGTGTCTGAGAGAGCCAATAACGTGCTGGTTACATGTGGAGAAAGCATCACTTCAAAATAACTGGGTGCTCTTGTGAATCTGTTTCAGAATAGGTTTGGAATGGAAGCATAAAATTTGATTAATTTCTGTGGTTATTAGTGTGCTTGCTCTGGCTTGTGTAATTGGGTTGGAAATAGAGTACAGGCTATTAAAAAATGCAGCAGTTAAGTTTTTGTGTTGGTGAATATTAAATTGCTACCTCTGATATTTGATTATGTGTGTGGAGGTAAATAGTGTTTTTTTCTCTTTAATCAGATCACCCAGAAGACACAATGAGCGTTAAAGCTTTCAAGCTCGTTTCTGCTGTTGAGCGGGAGATGTTAATGGGAGACAAAAATTACATCAACATCGAGTGCATTGAGTGCTGTGGGAAGAACCTCTACATTGGAACCAATGATTGCTTTATCTATCACTTCATGTTGGATGAAAAGGTATCAACAGCTGGAAAAATAACTTTTGCTGCTACCAAACAACTGCATAAATACCTGGGCTTGAAGAAACCTGTGAGCGAGTTGAAAGCGGCCTCTGCCCTCACCAGACTTCTCGTGCTTTGTGACAACACGATAACACTAGTTAACATGATAAACTTGGAACCCGTCCCCACCGGTGCTAGGATCAAAGGAGCTGTGACATTCACTTTGAATGAAAACCCAGTGAGCGGGGATCCGTTCTGCGTGGAAGTCTGCATCATCTCGGTCAAGCGTCGGACCATTCAGATGTTCATGGTGTTTGAAGACAGAGTCCAGATAGTGAAGGAAGTGTTTACTCCAGAGCAACCCTGTGCTGTGGCTGTAGATGGATACTACTTATGCCTTGCACTTACTACACAGTATATAATTTTGAATTATAATACTGGCGTCTCCCAGGATCTATTTCCTTATTGCAGTGATGAGAAACGGCCAATTGTGAAAAGGATAGGCAGACAAGAGTTTCTCTTGGCTGGCCCTGGAGGCCTAGGTGAGACTAAGGATGTTAATTTTTTGCCTTTTTTTTGGTTTGTTTTTACTTCTCCTAATTTCTTTCATTTGTGAAGCAAAGCTTTACTAATTAAGTGTTTTTCATCATAATAATGATTTACTTCACAGGTCTATATTGGAATGCTGAGATAAAAAGGGAGATGGTAAATTTTTGGTACTTAATACTATTATAACTCTCCTGGGTTTTTTCAATGCGCAAAAATCTATGATTATTTGTATTTTAATCATGTCTGTAGAAAGCTTCATTGCTGTATAGACAGCTAAGAGTAGTAGTATCATGCAGCCCTGAGCAAAAGAATTGTTTGGTACCAAGTGAAACTTCAGAGGCTGATAGGCTTTCTGTATTGACCAGTCAGATTGGGTTTGAGGAGCCCTGTGTTGCTATAAAGTTGTTAAATTCGTGTAGATGAGTTAATTTGTTCCTTAGTTGCTATTCAGAGGAGTTCACATGAAGTCCATTTTACATTGAAACAGATTCATAAGTATGTTTGTTGTACTACAGTGCTAGTAAGAAATTTTAGTGGATATATACTGTATCCTAACTCCTATTAAACTGTCTTAACTCTAGATGTTGTCAGATACTACCCAGTTTTTATGCTTCCATTTGCCTAATTTTTTTAATAGTGTTTTTCAGGTCCATATTACAGAAAATTGTAGTTTAACAACTGTAAAACCAAAGTTAGATCATGTGAAATAATGCTCTTGTCTAATAGATAAATGACGGTAAGGACTACTGCTGCTATCATCTGTCTAAATCAACAATATGCTGTGGGATCAGTAATCTTGAGCTTTTTTTTGGAAAAGCTGCAATATCCCAGAGCTGACAGACCACAGGCAGAAGGCTTTCATGCTGTTTCCCATATGACTCTCCTGTTAGGAGATGCAGTGTATGTAGTTTTCCTGACACATTAGGAATAGCATGATGCAAGTATTTATGTTCTTAATTCAGGGATCTGAATTAACACTTTTGCTGTTCTAAACATGCTATAAACCACCCTTTTCCTTATGATACAGGCGAAGTCTATCTTGTACTGCCTCAGAAACCTTGCAGAGTGTTTGCTATCAATTGTACAGTGTTTCCTTGCCTAACTCAACTGTGGGGTGTTTGTGTTTTGTTGTTTTTTTTTTAATCTCCTGTTTTCTATTCCCTCCCCATTGTTGTTTTGACTAGTACTATCCATCTTGCTGTTCTTCCTTGGTAAAATTCTTAGTGTCTTTAGCACTTGTCTCTGATGTTATGAAGGTGGTTGAGCACCTTTATAATAGATAAGCATTGTGTATCTTGGAATTTGAGGTAGGATTCTGGTGTAAAATGAATGGACTTGAAAAGGCTCGATGTGAATCTTCAGTTCTAATTTTGATTTGGTTTTGTATGTCTCATTGGTTAAGGCATGCTCGTTTGGCACTTGGTAAAGCCTCTGCTAAATCCAGCCTCTTACTGAGGTGGATGTCTTCTACATTAATATATTTGGCTTTATAGTGTTTGAAGTGGCATATACTTAGATTAATTTGCTTTTGAATTAAGACTGGAATTTAGATAGGCAGAAAGCAAGTGCTCAAAATGGTTATCAAAGTAAAATGTCTTTGAATTTATTGGGTATGTAACTTTTTTCCTTACCTGGACTCTTTGGATTTAAGATTCATTGTTAGAATTGTTCATAGCAGATCCCTGATCTTAGCCATTTGATACTTTTTTGTCTCTGCTTACAGTTAGTATTTAGCTCGTTCTTTCAGAAGGAGGAGAAACTTCATTTTTGATGCATCTTCATTTTGTCCGGTAATTAGTTCATTTGGAATTAAAAATCAGTTCTTTCTGATATGTATGAAACTATGCTTATCAAAATTCAATTTCTGAGTTTGGGAAACTGTTATTGCATGTTTTTAATCAGATTTCCTGCTGTACAGAGGCTTTAAGTATTTAAAATTGCAGCAGACAGTTCTTGCATATTGGCACAGGGTGTGCTTCTTAGCACCAGCGGGAGCAACTGCCCCAAAAAATCAGAGGTGTCAACTCAGACTGAGCTCCCAAGAGGGGGTGCAGCTTATCGAGCCTTAAGCTGAAGAGAGCACCTCCTACTTCCTGCAAGGAGACTGGAGCAAGGGAGAATATGGTCTTTGCCCACAGGAGATGTGGATTTGTTGAGGATTTCTGTTGCCATGTCAAGAAGGTGCAGGAGGAGGTTAGCAGAGTGCATGGCATCACAGATGACAAAGAGGAAATTGAATCTTCTTCAGGATCCAGGTGTGAGCCTTGTACCTCCAACTGTACTGAGGGAAGGACAGACTAAGTCTCTGCTTGTTCTGCGATGGCCAAGGCTGGAAACTTGTGACTTGTCATAACAAAAGAAAGGAAGTACTTGTCATAACCAAAGAAGGAAGAATTCTCCTTCTCTGCCTGCAGATCTACATCTATATAATAAGTTCAGTGCTCATAGTAGCACATGAGGAGCAGGAAGTTCTGTCCCAACAAATCGTCTGAGCCTGTACAATGCTGTAGCACCGGGAAGAATTAGCAAGTAAGAGTAGTGGGACACTCCCTCATATTGGCAATGAAGGTTTTCTCATCAATCCTGCTGGTAAGGAAGAACATCTTGAGGAATGTGTGGATGGTGCAGGTCACCAACTGATTGCACAGCTTGTGTTGACAGGGATTTTGGAATTTATGACTATAGATCCCTGTTTAAGGAAGTAATGGGATCCACCAGGCCAGGTGAGGCAAAAGCCTTTTTGCCAGCTTGACTGACCAACTTGGTGAGAAGGATTTAAATTTGGTGTGGTGATGGTTGTAGGCTGAGTTGGCACACAAAGAGTGCGAGACGGTGTGATGAGAGACTTTATAAGCAGCAAACAGAGCTTAAGAGGTCCTACTTCAGGCATATACAGACAAAGAAGTCTTTACAAAACAGCATGATAGTGGAAGCTCTCTTTTTCTGGGAAATCAGCACACCTGTGTGTTAACAGCTGAGACGTGGGGTTGCTCTCTACATGGTAGCAGTAGGAAAATGTGGTGGTGTGCCTTGGAACAAAGGAGGAGGCAGATGAGAGTTTATGCATTAGGGTTAGAGAGCAGACTAATATGGGTGACATTGTGGTCACTGACTGCTAGAGACCACTTTATCAGGAAGATGATGTAGGTAAGACCTTCTTCAGGTAATAGGAAGAAACCTTCATTTGCAGGCCCTAATTTTTAGGGTGCACTTGAACCACTCCAGTACTCACCAGAGGGGCAACACAGCAGGGCACAAGCAGTCCATGAGTTTTCTGGAGTGCATTACTGGTAACTAAGGAACTGATGAAGCAATGTGCTCTGTTGAATGTAAGAGTGTTAGCGTCATTCTCATATTGAATCCAAAACGCAGCACTGTACCACCTACTAAGAAGAAAACTAATCCAAAACCAGGACAGAGGCCAATGTGTGTCTGTCATTGACTTTGCTGAACACCATGAACAGCAACAAAAGGAGCATATCAGCAGCAAAGGAAGGCTAATGGATGTCCACTGTTAAATGGGGTGGAGGACCTGATGCCAAAGGGCATGGAAAAGGCTGAGGTGCTTAATGCATCCTTTACAACAGTCTGCTGGTATGACCTTCCTTCAGGAATTATCAGCGCTTAGGAACAGTGGGGAAATCTGGAGCAGCAAAAACCTGCCCTCATCAGAGAAGAATCATGTTATGGAACATTCAGGTAAACTGGACAGACCTGATGGGATGCTCCCATGAATGCTTGAGGGTGATGGTCAATGTCATTGTGAGGCCAGTCTTTATTATCTTTGAAAGGATGTGATGATCAGGGGATGTTCCTCAGGTCTGGAAGAAAACAAATGTCTTCACTGCTGTCTTAGGTGAGCGAGAGGAAGGATCCAGGGAAGTACAGGCTGGCCAGTTATACCTTGATCCTCAGGAAGGTGATTGAGAAAATCCTGGAAACTATTTCCAAATACACAAAGGACAAGAATGTGATTTGAAGTAATCAACATGGATTTAAAAAGGGACAATTGCCTGACCAGACTGAGTGTCTTCTATGATTAAATGCCTGGCTTGGTGGATGAGGGGAGAGCAGTGATACTGTGAACTTCAATAAGGCTTTTGACACTATCTCCCATGACACCCCTCGTAGACAAACAGATGAAGAATGAGCTAGAGAAAGAGTGAGGTGGATAGAAAGCATGACTGGAAGGTTTGTAATGAGCAGGACGGAATCCAGCTGGAGGAGAGTCACTAGTCTTGTACCCCAGGGGGCCAATGCGAGGTCAATACTAACATCATCTTTAAACAACATAGATGGTGGGGAAGAGCATACCTTCAACAAGTCTGGAGTGTATACAAAACATTTCTACATCTCTTGGTGCTGAAAACAGTCTAGCTGTGTTTTGGGTAACTCTTGTAACCTTTAGATAGCCTATAAATTTTTAATATGGAATTGATTACTGGCTTCATCTCAAGTTTGATCAAATGCATTCCTGTACTATAAAAAGGCTGTAATTTCTGATTGTAGTTGTTATGTTTATTGTTATCCTTAGGGGAGAGCTGGATGAAGACAGAAAATGCATCATTCTACCACAGAATGATACATCACCTAGCTATTGAGGGCAGAGGGATGTAGAGAGATACTGACTTGAAAAAGTACCACGCATTGCTCTGCATACCCTTTCACTTCCATAAAGGATTTTTTTAAATTACCTAAAAAAGAGCTCTTTCATTTAAAAAAAAATGTTTTGCAATTATTTCCGTTAAAACATCAGAGAAATAGAAAACCCAAGAATTAACATTTTAAATATAATAAGCTCTAAATTTACTACTGGTTAGGATGTGTTTAGTTCAAGTTTTCTCTCACTTTTTGAAATGGGATTATAGCACGGAGTAATAATAGAAAGCCTTTAAAAGTGGACAGTGTGGTTTGCCAGACATAAAATTTTACTTCTGAGTCATAGGAATATCAAGATCAATAGAGTAAATTGGGAATTAATATATTACGACCCCCAAAAACGATTTTCTGAAAGGTGCTTTGGTTGAAAAGCACCCTTTGGTGAAAAAGAACCCTTACTCAAGGGGAAGGGTTGATCATTTAAAAGCTGCTATAAGGGATACAGAAGCTTAGTCTCTACACCACAGTTCTGTAAAAGTCTACAACCTTCTGGTTTGTCTTCTGTTTTCCCTTTTTTTTTTTTTCTTTTCAATTCCAAGATGGTCCTTCTACCCAGCTCGCCTTGCCTCATTATCCTCTGTTTAGAAGAGATTTTGTAAATTGAATAACATAATCTTTTAATCTCTTGTGTTCTTTAGAGCTCAGACTTACTCTGCCAGCTGTCAAGTGGCTCACTGCTGCCAAAGATCAATTTTCATGGGCATGCCTTTTTAATGGCATGAGAATACTGGTTTTAAAGGGTATGAATTCATATTTTGAACAGAAGCTTACATACTGCTTCAGTACGGCTCAGCTGGTAATTGTTTACTGAACTAGGCCTCAAAATTTTGACTGAAATTTTTCTTCAGTCAATGTCTCAGAAAGAATTGGGAAATACAAAGTAACATGAATAGAACCACTGGCATGCAGTCCTAAAGCAAGTTAGAAGTCTGTTAAGCTAGGAGAAGGAAGGAGGACAAAATAGACAGGAAGAAAGATAGTGACACACACCCCCCGCCAAATTAATTGAAGTTTTAATCTGGTTATTTCGAAGACAGCATAGGAGTTATCACTGGTATGTTAGAAAGTCTTTACTCTGTGCTGCTTTATAAACAACCTCTGCATTTTTTTCGAATGATTGAAAACACAGATGCTTCACAGGAAGTGACTCATCCCAAGGAGCTGGACGTTTGTTCTGTGAAAACGTTGCTGTCAAAAGTGAAGAAGTATAAGTAAACTATTGTGTCCACTAAAATGCTCTTTAGACATTTGATACAGCGAGGAACTAACATGCCTGCGTTGCCAGACAGCTCAGGCAGTGCAGGTCTGCAGCTCCTACTAAGGCAAGATTGAAAGCTAGGTCTCAATAAATGTTTATGTTCTGAAATTAATTCAAACTGCATGGCATAATTCTTATAAGAAAACCCCGAAGCTTACTAAACTTGAATAATTCTTTGTAGTTTCTTTCAGTATTCATCTCCTCTCAGTTTTTGTTGTTGTCTGTTTATGTGTTCTTGTCTGTGGTAAAGGAGAAGGAGAAGGGAAAAAAAGACTGAACTGAATTAATCGTCAGGTCCAGGGAGGTGTGATGTGCTGTTGTCATGCTGCCTGTATCTGTTCTGAGAGTTTTCATCACTGTACCTTGGTACCTATGCTTTGTGCTGGGAAAACAACTAGGCTTCAACTAGCATGAGCCTCAGGCTTTGTTTTTCCCTTTTTGCAGGCATGTTTGCAACTGTAGATGGGATCTCACAGCGCGCCCCAGTGCACTGGTCAGAGAATGTGATTGGGGCAGCTTTGTGCTTTCCTTATGTGGTGGCTCTAGATGATGAGTTCATTACGGTGCACAGCATGCTGGACCAGCAGCAAAAGCAAACCCTGCCTTTTAAAGAAGGTCACATTCTACAGGACTTTGAAGGTACTAAAAAGGACACTTTGTTGCATCAGTAATTCTGGAACAGCCTGCAGTCTCTTTGGTTTGTTTTTTAAACACAGTATCTAGCAAGTATGTTGACTGTTAAAACTTTTATTGCAACTGCTTTGCTGGTTAGATTCCTGCAGACTTCAGTAATCCAAAATTCTATGCTTCTAACAAAATGTATGCTCATTAAATGTGCTCTAATTGTCAAGGTGATTGTTGGGTAGGAGTCCACGGGTTTAGAGCCTTTGTTTTTTTTTTTTTTTGGTAACTTGATTATTTCTTTCAAAGGAGCAGTGTTAATGTTACAACTGAATAATTGTGAATTACCGGTACATTGGCTATCCTGGCAAAATTCTACCAAATTAGAAAAGAATACAAAGGAATAGTAATTTTTAAAATATCTGTGTAAGAGTTTTAAAATTGGATATAAAAAATTGTTAAACAAAAAAAAATACAAACATTTCTTTTGGTGTATTCTTCAATTAAGAACTCTTAAGTATGGAATACATTGTGTTACTACTTTTTTTTTCCAGAGAAGCTACAAACTCCAGCACTATGAACTGTGTGTTACTTCCTACCTTTGATTTTCAAATGTAAGCCTGGGGAAATACCTGGCAGTTAAAACTCCCTAATCTCTGGAATCTGGGCAGTGATTTCAGTGGCCTTTACAGTTTAGTTCATCATGAGTGATTATAGCCAGTTTCACTTATTTAGAGTGGAACAAGATCTGCTGTAAATAAATAAATTTACTATTGTGTCTGTATTTCTGAGGTGGAATTTACAGGTAAGCTGCTATCTAGTAAATGAGGTGACAGCAAAGGTCAGTTTTGGAACTGTAACACTGCTTAGGTTCTTGAATCTTATATTGTATATCTTAAAGCTTATTTCTGAAATTGTTTTTTTTCTGTAGAGAATGTAAATGGAATATGTCTGTTTGTTCTGTCCAGGAAAGGTGATTGTTGCTACTAACAAGGGTGTGTATATCTTGGTGCCGCTACCTTTGGAAAAACAGATTCAAGATCTTCTAGCTAGCCACAGAGTAGAAGAAGCCCTTGTTCTAGCAAAAGGAGCTCGAAGGAATATTCCAAAAGAGAAATTTCAGGTCTGTCCTTCTTTTAGTTTTCATGAAAACGTAAATTTCACAGTGGGGCCATGTATTCCAGTGTTCAAGTGATTGGAGAGGGTGGGGGAGAAATTTACATTGAAGAGAAATTGTGATACCTTTTATGATTTCAGCCTGAGGAAATACGTGTGCTGCTAAATTGGTTTGTACTTGTAAAGGCTGTTATTATTGGCAGGGTGAATGCTGTTGCTCTTCTGGGATTTTGTTGATTTCCCCCCCCCCAAGAAACTGGAGAGAATTGAAAACAAAGCAAAACCAAAAACCTAGTGACAGAAAATCCAATGCTATGCTTCCTTAGTACTAGGTTCAGTTATTATTTGCTACTGCTATTTAAAAATGTATACTTTATTTCAAATCAGAATTTTTACATTTTACCTTATTTACCAAAGATTCTCACTGTATCCTAAACTCCACAGCAGTACAACTTCAAAGTTAAGTAATGGGAAATCTAAAGCAAATACATCCTGCTTCCCAGCTCTTACAAGTTTGCTGTGTAACTCAACTTTTAAGGTTTTTGTATGGGAAAGTGTCTTACAAAGTCTTGAGTGTTGATTAGAGATTTGTACTCACTTCCTTCTACCTCTGGTTTACGTTACAATACATATTCTACTGTATTTGTTTCTATTTAGAGACTTGGAAAAAACAGCATAAAATCTCTACTCACTGAGTACGTGAATGAATATTTGGTTTCTTTCCTTTTGTAAAAGCAAAATTTGGTCTGTAACCTGAAGAAAATCTAGTGTGTCTTTTGTTTTTGTTTTTTTTAATATACTTCGGTGCATTTTGTTGCCATTAAAATAGTACCAGTTATGTTATTACTTCTGGTTTCTTTAGAAAGATGTAAACATGAATGTGGAAGTTACAGAATTGCAGTGCTTCAAAATGATTTCTTTTTTTTTTTTTTTTTAAATTTCAAGAAGCTTCTAATTCCTTGTAATTTCAATTTTGGTCAAGGCCCTTGAAAAGCAGTCATTAAATTAAAGGAAGGTTGTATCAGTTTTCATTTTGATCCCTGACTCCTCTGTTGAATGAATAGATGGGAAACTTCTGGAAGTAAAAATCTTGTTGAAAAAAGTGTTTCCATCCTTTTGCTAAGGTACATCTATTTGGAAGTACTTGAAGTTGAAAAGTATTTAGGCAAATATGGGGTTCATTTTCCAGCATGTTTTGTTTTGCATCTTCATTTCCAACTTTTCCTTTGCAATCTGTTTAAAGAAGCAAACAGATATCTTGCTGTGAGGACAGGATGCATGGTCTAATTGGTGTCTTCTACTATGTATGATGGCCTATGAGTCTGCAATTATTTCTTTCCAGTTTATGTAGATGTAGTGTGGGAGATGTCTTCCTGTGTTTTGCCACGGGATGAACTGCAGTTCATTACCTAAAATATGTGATATCAAATCTCATTCCTCTTCAGTTTTCTTGCATTTAGGATTTTTCAGTCTTTAGAACAAGTTACTTTCTGTCCACAGATATCTTATGTGCACAGTATCTGTCTTCCTGAAATTAGTTTTCTGGAGTATTCTAAGTTCTTTCTAGCTTGATATGCTCTTGAAGGTGTTCACTTACTTTAAGTCAATGCTACAGCTGAAAAACAGAAAACATAGCACTTGCAAGCAAAATGGCCTGTTCTGTTTCTGGGATGTATTTGCAAACTGATATTAACCAGTTTGAATTGATGGAGTCTCCCACTCATATTAAAATGACCCAACATGGCTTAGTTGTTGACATGTTAGTGCAATTTTTCAGAGCTTATCTGTAGCTGGAAATCCAGCATGTTGAGCTTGCTTTCTAATGGGACTCCAATACCAAGTGCTGTCATTACAGGTCTGTTACAAGCACACCAGACTTTCTTTTACTGTGGTCTCATGTAATGTAAATATGATGGAGCTCAACCAAACTAAATGCCATACACATGTTTTTTGTAACATTTCTTTGGCATACTTTAACTGATCACATAGTCTCTCATTTTTAAGTCCTGTCTAAGAGCTATCTTCAGATAATTGATGTTAGATAGACAATAGGCATCTTCTAACAGATATCTTTGGGTATCTGTTTTGCAAGCTTTACTTTCCTTAGTAACTGACAATTTCAAGGCTTTATTTTGCCATTGTACACAAGCAGTAGGAAGAAATGCTTAGGTTTGGCATTAAGGCACTTGATCCATGCAGAATACTGATTTTAGTTGTCTGGTTCATGAAGTAGAGTGTCCCCTTTGCCACGTAATGCTTTAGTTCTGCAGTTTGCAATGGCTGTTACCATCTTATGTGCGACTTGAACTTAGTTAGGGCATTGTAGGGCAGATTTTGAGGACATGGGTTTTTTTCCTACAGTTCAATACTTTGTCACTGCATGAATACACAGGTGCATGCTCTCCCTCTGTATATCAGCAGTAGTATATCAGCATAAATATATATGTGCTGGTAATGCAGAATGATGGTGGAATAGCAATGAAGGACTGTACTCAGAATTATTTGTACAGTCAATATTTAGTTATGGGAAAGTAGCAGGTCATGCATTAGTAGCTCTAACTTGTTATTTAGCCTGTGGTCCCTGCAGACTGCAAATTTAGCTCTGCCGTATCAGATGAAAATGTCTTTGAGCATCAGGAATTCCTGCTAGGTAAAAAAACGCTAAGCTGAAGTATTCCAAGGAGATGGCTTTACTGGATATCATTTTTGATAGAAGAATACAAAGGCTTTTCTACCATGCTACCATGAAATGACTGAATACTGCTTATTAATTTTTCAGGACAGCTGACGTTTGCAGAAATCATGGTTGATGGTAGTGAAGACCTTGGTTAGATTGACACACATCTTGCATAGGTATCTCTCTTTTCTTTTTTTTTTCCTCTCATTTCTTTTTAGTTTCAAAAAAACATATTAACTGCACCCAAACCTGACCAAAAGACAAAGTAGCTTTCTAGAAAAATTCTTTTGGACAACGTAGTTGGTAATTCTGACCATTTTAGAAACAATTTTTCTAGCAGTTATGTGAATTAAGGCTTTGCTATAGCTGTCATCACAGCTTCAGCAGTCATCTTTCTATTGTCTAGGGCTTTTTCACACATGAATTAATACAAAACTTATTTTGTGGAGTTTTTAATGTGAATTCAGTCAACAATATAGAATTTGCCTAAGCACTTCAAGTCTTATGGTAGTTCTTCAGAAATTATAAGAGATTAACAATGTGTTGAATTTTGACTGGATGTAACTTAGCACCTTGGTAAGAAAAGCCTGTTGCAGTATTCTGGCCTATGGGTCTGGAAGAACTCAGGGTGTTTTTTCTATCATAAACAGAAGTTAACTGTATGTATTTGGCATATAACTAGCTCATTCTTAACAACCTGTAAGACAGGGAATAATGGATTTTCCACAGGCAGTCTGGTCTGTTGCTTCCATAATCTTTACCTCAGGACAACCTAATGTCTAATGTTTATCTTGTTGACTGAAAAGCTACCTGGATACTACCTATTCTATCACTGCATCTTCAAAAAGTTGGGAAAGCACCTGTCTGTAGATATTCTACAACTTTTCTGTTGCGTGCAGGGAGAAGTGAAGATATGTCAACATTTAAATGAAAGTGAATACCACTTAATCAGTTCAAATTTAAAACTGATTCCTTCAAGCTGTAGTTACACTATGAATGTGCTCTTTTCAACTTTCTGTTCAGAAGATGCTGTACAGACTAAGCTCTACAATTAAAGCAGTATTTTCAGTGTCTTAGATAAATTCAAACTTAATTACAATATCATAATTTACTAAATATGTAAATTTTAGTGATCATTCCATTGCAAAAATTGAAAACAGACTTTGAGGGGGGGAAAAACCCCAGCCTATCCACTTTTGATACTAGTCAGCATGGTGAGACGACTTTCCCTGTAAAGTCAAGCCAGATTGTAAAGTTTTTCTGCTGCCACAAGATGCAGATATTTGCAGATTGAAATCCTTTAGCAGTGGCCTTAAGAATGTGACTAGGTGGGTATTCATCAGTTCACAGATTACTGTGTATTGATGTAATAACACTATCAGAAATCCACAATATTTTGGCTAGTCTGTGAATTAATCACCTAAGGAAGTTTTACTTTATAACTGTAGTTAAATTCCCTTTTAGCTTTAGATAACTAAGTTTAGTTAACTGTGTATTTTGAATTATTACATATGAATGTAAAACATTAATTCATATAAAGATGTCATTAAATATTGTTCATTTAATTTTATATTGTTATATTAATTTTATATTTTCATATTGTCTGAAAAAGTGTGCTAGATAACATTTCTCTTTCCCCTTCTCTCCTCCACACTGGGGAGTCAAGAAAAATCCCACAGAACCTTACAAATCAATATATTTTAGTGGCTTGCTAATTACCAAGATCAAGTATTTCCTTAAGACGAACCATTAGTAAAGCATGACTAAATGGACTGAAGCCAAGCTTTTCTCTTGGTAAATCCATAATCTTTAATCAAGGTGAAAAATCATCAGTTACAGAATCAATCCACTGTACTCGAGGTCTGATGTTCTTTAGTAATTTCTGCCTGGAATGTGTTCTTATTGTATTGTAGTTTCTCAGGGTATTTTCATTGAAAATGGTTTTTTTTAAGTCTGCCTTCATGTACAATGTGAAATGTTAGAAAGCTGTATATTCACGAGCAAGTTGAAGGGAAAAATTGAAGGCATGTGGAGGTAGCTGGGTGTATTTGCCAAAATACCAACATTGTCACAAAAAGGGGATGCTTTGCAGAGCACAGTTTAGGTTCCTTGCTTTTAGTAGTTCTCTTTTGCTGTTAAAAATATTCTAGGCACAAGGATTTCATTTAATCTTGTGTAATTGGTTGATCATTCAGATTTAATAACTACCTATCATTTAAAGTAGTTTTTATGTTCTTTTTCTGATGAACTTCATTTCAGCATTTTCTGTCTAGGTGTGAGCTTAACAGTAAAACTTGATAACAAATAGCTTTTCATATGTTTTAGTTGATTTTTAACTGTATTTTGATCTACATTGCATAATTTACTTCATATTGGATAAGTTGAACTGCTTTGGAAGTATTTTTATTTAAAAAAAAATCAAATTTTGACTTTTGCTATTTATGGTCATCAGCTCGGGGTGAGACTGAGAACTGCCAGCAAGGTTGCTGCAGCAGTGAGATGACACAGGAAGGAAGTGGCTGTGTGTGGTCAAGTGGGACCATCCTTACCTTTTTTTTTTTGTGCTTACTGAATCATGGAGAACTTCAAAGATAACCATTGGCTTTTACATTTACAAATAATTCGAGCAGAAGCTTGAGGCAAGTCAGTGTGATGTCAGATAAGTCATTATGTGAACAAGAAAAATCCAACTTACTGCTTATTGACTTTGCTTTTAATAAGGACTCCTGAGCAGTGTTGTGTTCACACACATTTGTGTAAGAAACTGAGTCTGGGCAGCAGATTCAGTACGTACATAACTTAAAATGTAGAGGATCAAGGCTTTATTTTGCATGTGACTTGACAAGTGTGGTTGAAGATCGTGTGTTCAGTGTTGTGGCAGGTAGCTATTGCAGTAGGAGTTAGCACTATGTAAATACAAATATAATAAACCTTTTCTTTCCCCCCTTCTTTTTCATAGGTAATGTACAAACGAATCCTGCAGCAAGCAGGTTTTATACAGTTTGCACAGCTTCAGTTCCTTGAAGCAAAAGAACTCTTCAGGTAATTGTGTGACAAGAAATTTATTAATTTACCTTCTTTAAATAAGGAATTAGTGTTCTTGGTTTTAAAAACTTGAATGGCTTTTGATGCAGCTGTGAGTTCACTGTTAGAAAATGTTTTTGTTGGGGGTAAGAACAGAGTAACATTGAAACAACTTTATAGCTGAAGAGTTAATGCAACTGTTTTTTTTCTTTTGTATGCTAGCATACAGTAGCTTTAGGAATTTGAGTGTTGTATGTGTGGAGATGTTTTTACTTTATGTCCATGAAGGTCAAGGCTTTACTATTGAGCCTGTGCTGTGATTTACAGCATGAATATTGCTTTGATTTTTTTTTCAAATACTTTTAACAAAAAGGTATAATTCAAATATTAGTTACAATTTAAATACTATTGATACAATTGCTCTAACTTTTTTGAGGATGCTGATACTGAATTTGTTTTAACACTTATTCTGCTAGACCTTTTCCAGAAAGCAGATTGATTATTTGTTCTTGAAGTCTGTATTAACTTTCCCAGTTTAGCCATTTCAGCAGTCACATGTTTATAAATTGACTTTGGTATTCCACTTGCATTAAGAAAATTCAGCTAGCTATCTTTATGCTACCTGATAATTTCATTTCTGCTAGCCATACCTCATTCTGTGATGGGGCACTGTCTGTTGTTAGTGTAATCCGTGCTGACTACATAAAATAACTCTTCCTTGCTGAAATTCAGTTTAAATCTATGTAGAGTCTATGAAATAGGATTAAGCTTAGACGGTTTTCTGTATATTGTAAACATCTACAGTGTAGGAAAAAAGTTGTCCTTGGGTTTATGGAAATGCATTGAAGAAAAGGTTTTGGGGAATTCTGATTCCCTACTGATGAGGGACTTTGCCATTTTGCCTCCTGCTCACCAGTGTAATGGGAGACACTGGGCTTAAATGGGCAGTGTACTCTGAGTGAAGATGAGGGACTGACAGGAAAGGCCTGAATAGCGTTTATTCGCAATTTGTTCCAGCCACAAGCACTTTCTGTATCACCCTGTAATTTTTGTCATTAGTGAGCAACTTGCAGTCTTCCTCCACCCTTATAATCTTCCACACACACTGTGTATCTGAACCCCGTGTTGTGTATCTGAAGTAGGAGTACAATCTGTACGTAGTTGGGAATCTTTGAAAAGCAGTGAGAAGAGGAAAATGTATCCTGCAGGGAGCTCCACCACCTTGTGGAAGGAGTCAAGATCAGTTATGCAGCCTCCATCCAGCTATCAGTCCATCTGACAAATAAGCTTTAATGAATAGGATTGTGGGAGCTCCTCTACAGAAACAAACATGCTTCATGAGAAAACATGCTGTCCTGCCATGAATTTTGTAGCTGAGTCAGCATTCCAGGGTGTTCCCTTCCTCTAAAAGCTGCAACTCTAAAGCAGAACAACAGTTCATGAATTGCTGATGTCTGCTCAAGGAAGAAGGCCAGAATAAGTTTATCTGTGCTTTTCTTCTGTCCAGCCATACATAAACTATTCAGAGTATTTTGAGGACTCTAAAAAAGCTTGTTATGGAATCTAGGTTTCTTGATTTTCAGCCCTGGTGAACACACCCAATTAAAGTAGTGTCTGGGTGTGTCCTGATATACTCTCAATCAATCTTGTTCATTTTAGACTTACTAATGCTCAGAGGAAAAATGGGAAAGATAATGGCAGTCTGTGCAAACACTTCTTCCCATTCCAATATGTTACTCGCCAGGTGTTGTGTTAGTAAGAAAGAGCTTCAGTCTTGATGCCAAAGGGAAACTTGATACCTATCTGAGAAGATGGGTTTAAGCAGTGAAATAAAGTGACAGCAGTACCTTCAGGAACTTGGTAGGATTTGAACCTACTTCTGGACAAATATGAAGTGAGATTATCTCACTACTCAGAAAATATCTGTCAGTTACAGGTTAGCTGGGGAAACTACTATATTGGACTAAAGGTCTTTGTTTTCTTGCATTGATTATCCCTCTTGGATAGCCTCATCAAGAAACAGTTATATCTTATGCTTAAATTCTTAGTTCTTAAATACTGAAACTTTTAAGAGGAATACTTTGCAAAATTCCTTGTAGTTGTGCTGATACTTCTAAATACTGAAGAAGGTTGACAAAAAGGAAGTAAGTGATGATAGTTTAATTGAAACTGAAGTAGCTAACAAAGGGAGGAGAATTTTCTTCAGCTGGATCTGTTAACCTTAAACTGAGCGAGCTGTCACAGTAGGGCTTCTTTGGTCTGACAAATTCTGTTATAAACAATAACAGAATTGTGTTTTTGTTATGTAGCTGTGATTTATATTTATGCTATTTCATGTTACTATCATTAGAGGGTCACATGCATTTAGACCAATCAGTGCTGATTAGCAGGCCGTTTGCTGAATTCTAGATGTCTTACTGAGGTGTTGGCAGCTGTCAAAGTGAAACCAGTTCTCTTCAGTGTTTTTTCACTGATTAGATGTTGCTTACATTCTGACACACCAGATACTTTTCTAAACTTTGTTGCTCTTTTTAACAAATCAAAATGTTAACTCTTTTCACGATATTTCTCACCTGTTAAAACCTATGGAGAGACCTTAGGAATAAGTGTCTCCTACACTGGAAAGGTTAAAAAATTGCTGGTACTTATACCTTGAGAAATAAGAAGTATGGATGGTGTAAGATTTGCATCTTAAATGATTTGAGAATTTAAGCTTCTATTACAGCCAGTGGGATCTGGGCAAAACAGTTAATGTTGTAGGCTTCTTTGACATCTCTGATATCTGTAAATATGAGGGTCTGAATTTAGACCAAAGTTTCCTGAAAACTTGTAGATTCTACCTGTTGAATTATTTGTATACATGAAGCCCAAAAAGAGCTAATGCAGAATTGATTGAAGGGAAGTTGCCTCTTAACATTAATGATTCAACTTGTCTTGAGTTTGTTTTCGAATGTGAGATAAGTTGCTACCTATATTTTGCTAAACCTGATATGTTAGAAGCTGAAGACTCGGATGTGTGTTTCGAAAGAGATGACGTCCTTTGTACCTGCTCTTAAATGGTTTTGTCCAGATGTGGTGGAAAGAGCCACAAGACATCCACAGATCCCAGAAGCCATAAGCTTTGGGATGAATGTTGGCCATTCGTGCATTGCTTGGTCATTGTTTGGTATTTGCTATTTTTCATTAAGAAGCTTGTGGAAGCCTCCTTCTAAGGAGGCTGCTTGATTTCTGATTGCCACTGCAGTGGGGAGAGCAAAACTGTATAACATGAGCTTGAGTCAGACCTGCTGAGAGAACCAGTGGTGATTCACAGCCCAGGCTTTGGACTATCCTAAGTTGGAAGCTGATTCTCCTCGAAAGCTATTTCTCCTTTTGGAAACAGATCATCATTGAGGCCAGAGTCTGTGAAGTCAGAGGTGAAGTAGCTGACTACTTTCTCATCTAGGAAAAGTTGGATGGTAAGATGAAAGGACTCAGAAGCTACTGTAGAAGTTGGAAAATATTTTCAAACTTATTATAAGGGGCATATTTAAATATAGCATTTTTTAACTTCATCCATCTGCATGGTCATAGTCTCCATCTCAAGCTTAGGCCACCTCCAAATACCTGACAGCACAGCTTTCAAGAGAACGAATGTTTATACATGAATTTCTCTGAATTTATCAACTCCTTGTAATTAGCCTTTGGATTTTATTCAAGTTATGGGTTAACTTTTGTTCTAAAATGAATCAGGGAAGAACCTTGGAGGAAAAAAAAAATCTCTTCTTTCTTCAAATAGTGTTAGTTTTCTAGTGTAAAACATGTAATAGAAGGTCCTCAGGACCTTCAGAGTAGTTGGACTAGTCAAAAATGCAGTTAGATTACTGTAACAAGTTCATACTGAAAGCTCAAATGTTCTTTGAGCCATCAGGTCACACCACTGACAGAACTTGCTACTTCTTGGTTATTCTGCCTCTTAAAAAAAAAAAGTCTTCATCTCCTTGTGAGTTCCGTCATAATGTAGATTTCAGAATTTCTAAGCCAAATATTAAGTCTGAAAAGAGGGACTAAAAAGACATTTCAACTGCAGAAATCTGCAAAGTAGGCATGAACACTTTACCCTTGGAAAGAGGTGAGCCTTTCTAGTGGGGAGGTGGTTTTTAGGCAGTAGGAGCTCTGTGTATGAATCGGAAAGACCTGCTGGTCAAGCCTCTTCTCATGGAAAGGCTTCCTATATTCAGATTTTTCTATGTTGTGGTCCTCTGTAGTCCGTGTTGCTGTTCCTGTGCTTTGCAGTCACGAGGTTCTGGAGCAGGATACTTGCTGCTTTTAAATTTGCTGTTGCTGTTGTCTCCTAGAATTTCATTCTTCTGGTATAGATTTTTGTAGCCAAAGGACAATATTAAAAAGAAGTTCTAAACAGGTGTAGTCATGGTGATGTTTCCGACTAGTTCATATTTCCTGGATGGTTTTGGAACTGTGTCAATGGCAACAGGTGAACAATGCAGAGCACACCCCGCTCTTCAGTTACTTTACAAGTAAGGAAGGGATGAGCCTGCTTGTGAGGATCTTTCACACTTTACAGCCTGCAGAAATCTGCTGCTTTGGCTACTTCTGGGTTATAACTTGTTTCTTTTTGGAATTCATTCCAATCAAGGTTGTGAAGATAAAGTCTTTGAGTTTGCTGATCACTATGTAGATAAGAACTATTTTTGAGAAGTTTTATTTGCAAAGGTATAGTAACAAAACAGGGTTTCTTTCAGAGAACTGTCAAGATTATTTTGATCTTTTTTCAGCAACAGTATCTCCTTCATTTCAAGAATGTTCATCTTTAAAGGTGAATTCTGAATAAAAGCTTTTGACAGCGAACTAAAATATAAATCGTGATGTCCTGCTGTTCTCCTGAAGCAAGGCCTGGGAAGAGAGATCATTCTGGCTGTGTAAATTAGGGAGTTGTTTGCCATATGTAAAAAAAAAAAAAAAAAAAGACCACAAACCAGAAAAACCCCAACAACCTGTTTTGGTCTGGTTATTAAAATTATTAAAAATGCCTCTACTTGAATTAAGTTGCAAAGAAGACTAGATGCCAAAGTCAATAGTATGGGTTTTATTTAATGGTAAATGTGAGACAGAGAAAGAGAGATAGAAAGAAATAGGAAAAAGGAGTTGAAGGGGGGAGAAGAAAGAGAGTGACAGAGAGAGATTGAAGTAGAAAATGTATCACCACTGTATGTAACCTGGAGATGTCCTGTCGGTCCAGTTCTTCTGGTCTTCTTGGTGGTGAGTGTCTCCCAAAACCAGAGTCCAATGGATTAGTATACATTCAGGAGATGCCAGGCATCTCCCGTTGATGGGATGGGAGGGGGCGGAGGGGAAGCTTTGCAGTCTCTTGTAATGGACTCTGGACTCTGGGGGGTGCTTTGGGGGTCTTTGGTGGTTTATGACCCCTTCTCAGCTGCCTCTCATGTGCATGTCCCTTGTGTACCTGGTCTTCCTGGGGGTGAGGAGGGTTACTGCTTTGATTTAGTGAGGAGAGATTTCACCATCACACACCCAAAACCCCTCTCCCCTGCCACCCACTGAGCTCAGCTAGGTTGGATTCTTAACACAGAGACATTCTTTCCTGAGCCTTGTTTACCTCTCCTCAGACCTGAGATGATTAGACAATAGTCCTATCTCAAGTTCCCAGTCACAGTCCAAATTCCAGTCAGGAGGCATTGGGGGGGGGTGGGGGAAAAGTGCTTCAGTGGCCACAGACAGGCTGTTGCCTTCTTGCAGTTTGACAAAAGTCTTTATATGATTTAAACAATGTTTAAGACATAAATAACATTCAGTCCATTGCACAACCACAACCCCAAAAAAAACCCTATTCATTTTATTCTTCTATCACAACATGCGTTATTCAAAAGTTTGAGGAATTTCAATCTAGGCCGAAAGAAAAATGTTTTGCATGGCATATTTATATTACAGCTTGCTGCTGGATAAAAGTATATGTGCCCTTCAGCTGTAGGATGTCAAAAGCAAAAGGCTAGCCAGTCTCCAAATTCTTGGAGCTTCCAACGTCTAGAGAAGGAAAAAGAATGATAAGTAAAACAAATAAAGAAATAGCAAAAAAAATTCCAGATTTGTTCTGCATATATTTTCTCCAGCATAGAAGACAATAGCTTTCAGAAACTGACAACTTGTTAGTGTCCTGACTCTAAGCATATGTGAGCACACATCTTTTTTTTGTGCCTATGTATACTTTTTCTTTCTTTTTGCTTCATCTAGTTTGACACTGTAATTGCAGAAGCGGCCAGCTTGATGTCCGGGAGCTGATCTCTCTCTACCCCTTCCTGTTGCCTACTTCCTCTTCATTTATCCGGTCTCATCCCCCTCTGCACGAGTACGCCGACCTAAACCAGCTGACCCAAGGGGACCAGGAGAAGATGATAAAGTGCAAACGATTCCTCATGAGTTACTTGAATGAAGTCCGCAGCACTGAGGTTGCGAATGGCTACAAGGAGGATATCGACACAGCTTTACTCAAGCTATATGCAGAGGCAAATCATGAAAGCCTGCTGGACCTGCTAGTTTCAGAGAACTTTTGTCTTTTGACAGATAGTGCTGCCTGGCTGGAAAAACACAAGAAGTGAGTGGATTTTTTGACTATTGCACCTTTGAGACCAGAGGGAAAATTCTTAGATGCTACTGGCTTCTAGAACAGTGTGTTCAAGTACTTGCAGTTTCTGTGCTTATAGGTCCAAAAGGCAACTCAATCTGAATTGACGTTAACATTTAAAAATATTGTTGAAAAGCTATTGATTGACAGTCTGAGGTAAAGGAAATGCATGGTAAATAGCGAGTTCTCCATGTAAAATTTTCTGTATCCAACAAAAAAATAAAGAATTGATACAAGTTTGGGAGAAAAAAGTGAATTGTTTGCCCACGTGATAATGGGAGAGTTGAATGGCTGCAGTAGTTGTACACAAAATGAAGAGATGCCTTAAAGGATGCACTGCATTAGATCGGAGCTCTTAACCAGTTAGCTGGCTTTAAAATTGTTGGTTATTCAGGGAAGGAGCTCTTACTTTTGGATTGTATACTTTGTGTTCCCACTGATTCACCAAAAGGAGGATTCTTAAGATTTGAGTGCAAATGACTTCAATTCTCTGTCAGCAGGCAGAGAATTGACAGTCATTAAGCAGGAAGCATTGTGTAGTAAATGTGTAAAGTACAAAATACAGTCCTAGGTAGTATGTCTGTTTTGGTTTTAATTTCTTTGAGCTTTAAACTGTGTGGTGCAGTACCACTGCAGTACAGTGGTAAGGCAGTCTTTAATTGTGGTTATATTTAGAGCAATTTCATTTATTTTAGGTGTTTTGTTAAAACCTCTTGGCAAATGTGGTTTGCGTGACCTCTACTTTTGTACATGTGAATGAATATTAGAACATTGTCCCATGAGAACAGCCATCGCAGAACTTAGTTGTATTTTTCTTACAGTACACAAAAGCCAGTCTGTAATGGCACTGTACAGAGCTCTTCTTTGCCTGACTTGACTTCGTGCTGCAGTAAAGAAAAAAACCGTTTCTGATAGTAAAACAAAGCTTTAAGTAAAAACATAGTGAAATTTGATTTAATGGAAGCTGATTAACTATTGGAGGAATGTCTATTTGGAGTTATGTGTTAAGTCTTTCCATAAAATTGAAAGAACGGCATGGGAAACATCTGTAATTTGGCACATACTTTACCTAAGTTGGATCTAGTAACTGGAAACTGTCTGAGGGACAGGAGTGATGGAGACACGGTTTTAAGGGAGAACTTCTCTCCTTCGATTCAGAAAAACAACCTAGAGAGACTTGTTCAAGTGTAGACATGGCCATGAACATGTCATTGTAAGCAGTTATTTGTTATATTCTGTGCTAATCCATCCATAATTAAATCAATGGGAAAGTTTTAGCAATTTTAATATTATTTTCTCATTCTTTACAGGTATTTTGCACTTGGTCTCCTGTATCATTACAATGGTCAGGATGCTGCAGCGCTTCAGGTTAGAATAAAGCTTTTACTGTCATCTGTAAACCATTCCAAAATAGTGATTTAGCTCTGAGATAAGTCTGAGGTGTTGATTTATCTGTTTGAAAAGTTGTAATGTATATGTGTGTATATATATATATATATATATATATATATATATATATATAAGAAACTTGAAACTTATGCTAAGACTTCCTTGAATAAATTAATATACTAGTTGTTAAAAGTCTGAAGAGCTTACTCAAGTTGACAGCTATTTGGACGCATGTATGCTATTTTTAAAGCAAATCTCTGTACACCAGAACAAATGTTTGTATTCCTAAAAGATAGACAGAAGTGCTAAAATAATCAAAAATAATCACTTTAAAAGATATTTATGGGACTTCAGGAGCGTACGCTGTGTTGATTGATCTGTGTACACACAGCAAAACAGTATTATAATCTTTGTGGCAGACATGGACAGCAACTGAGAGTCTGTTTCCTTATCTGATGATGGAATATTATGCATTCTGCAAGATCTTAAGTTTCAGCTGGGTTATTAATACCTCTGGGGACCCTCCATCTGATGTCACACAGTAATTTTGTTGTCCCTGTCTGCATAACTTCATCTAGAGAAATTAGTAAGTTCTTGATGAATACATAGCATGTATGTTTCAGACCACATCCAGAACCTTAAGTAGTTCGCCTTATTGTGTGGCTTTTTGAGCACATTAATCATAGTAACCCTATCAGATGCATTCAGGTCAGTTGTGTAAATACTAATTGTTTGAGCAGAAAACCAGTAAGGACAACAAAAGCAATATGTACATTTGTCATGTGCAAAATATTTTTCTTGATGTTTCAAGAAACAAGGTTTATTGCTAAGCTGTTCTGCTAGATATGGCACCTTTTTAATTCTGATTATAACGTATGTAAAAACAATATCATATGGTACTTGAAGTTCTTCAGTCACAATGAAAGAAGAGCAAAAAGTCAGGTTTTCTTCTAAGTTGCTTGTATAATTTGCTTTTAATCTTGCACACATGCAGAACATATGAAAAGTATACTTTTGATAGAAGCTTTCTTTGTAGTTAGTGTACCTCCTTCAGTCACTCTCAGAATGAGAACCCACATGATATGGGGTCTGAATTGGGTGAATGTGGCAGGTGCAAGAGAAGACTGTGATGGCAAAAGTTTAGTGACCAGTGAGGTTCCTTGCAATTGGCGTTCCTGGCAACTCTTTCTAATTCCACAAATCTTGTAGTAACTTGCATAAATTTTGAGGTGGAAGAGTTACGTGTTTTAAGCACTTTAATATGTGTATGTTTTTGTTGCAGTTATGGGTGAAAATAGTTGATGGAGACATTGAAGATTCTACACGTTCAGATCTCTATGAATATATAGTAGACTTCCTGACATTCTGCTCAGACCAAGACCTTGTGTGGAAGTACTCTGCATGGATTTTACAAAAAAATGAAGAGGTTTGTGATTGATATACTTTTCACAGAACACCAGTGTTTCTCTGCAGTGGTGTTTGGGTTTTCCTTAATGTTGGTCCTTCCTGCTAGCTAATTGGCCTTTATGCAGAATATTTAATGCCAGTTAAACAGTGATCAGCAGAAGAAAACTTCTGTGTTCTAAATTCTTCTAAGTCCCTCTCTTGACAAATGCTAGTGATAATTGCCTCTTCATTCTGAAAACAAAGTTTAGGGCATTCTGTACAATGAAAAATACAGCATGTCTTCTGTTTTCTTCATATTGAGTGAGATAATTTTCAAATCTTAAATAAATCAATCACCTAACAGATTAATTCTTGCTGCTGCTTCTTTTTTAAATATATTCCATGAATGGGTGGTATCTGTGTACACCAGGACATGGAATAAATAGCCTTCTTTTAAGACAAAACTTCATTGATAGCGGAATTAACTTAATCCACCAAAATTAAAAAAAAAAAAAATTGTAACATCTGTTAGTGTGGTGTGCTGTTAAGTGAGATGTTTTGATCCTGTATTAAAGAGTCTATGCCATTGGAACTTGTCACTTCCTGATCTGCATTAATTTAAAGCTTAGTTATTTTGTGCCATGGCAGATTTCTAAAATTTTGTTTTGGTCATTACAGAAATCTCTTGCTCTAGGTCATCACATGTGAAAAGGATTAAAACATTCTGGTTTTAAAGTAAACTTTCTTACTGCAAAGTAACTGTCTCTTGTTCTGCAGTTGTGCAAATCTGTTCAATACTCTTTGTGGTTGGTGGAAGTTGTGCCCAGGTTTTTGGGCTGGATGATGTATAGATTACAGATTGAGGCAGTGGAGATAGGAGTGAGTGAGATCACAGTAAGCACAGAGTAGTGTAATCCTGTGGTATTGAGCATGATTTTTTGTTGTTTATCTTCCTGAATAATGCACTAACTAATTGAACAGTGCTATTACCTTTTCATTTTAAATACTTATTTAATAAAATAGTTGCCACTGAGTTCCTGAATGCAATTAACTCTTTCTAGGTCGGCGTACAGATTTTCACTAAAAGGCCTTTAGAAGAACAGGAGAAAAACATTAATCCAGATGATATCATCACTTGCCTTAACAAATATCCTAAAGCACGTGTCAAATATCTAGAGCATCTAGTACTGGAAAGAAAGATAGAGGTGAGTTCTGTGAGAATGGTAAAAGGTAGTCATAGGATTCAGAATGCAAGTTATGATCAACAAGCCTGAAAAAAGGCAAAGGCTAGAAGAAATAGGCATAATATGAAGTCTTTCAGATGTACTCAGAGTAGGGTAGGAATGGTTTTAAGATTAAAGTAAACAATGAGGAGTGGATAACTGCATTATTTTGAACTCTTCTGATGACAAGATAGTTACCTCCCCTCAGAGTCCGGGGGGTTTTTTTGCATCTGATTATTGCATACTTTTCTGTTTCACTGAGGCTCAGGCCTCCTGGTGAGATCATAAAAAAATGATTGAGCAACTGCTAATCCTAGTGCACTGTGGCAGCAGTATATTAAAATTGCTAATTCAATGTTTTGCTAGTAGGAGTGTTTGATTCTGTCTGTCTGGAGAGATTTGAGCAATTAATGATA